GGTACCATCACCGTCCTGGCCAACCGGGACCCACGCGAGGCGGCCACAGGCTCCTCATCGGCGGGTGATTCCCCAGCAGCAACCTGGCTGAACAGAGCAGTCGAAACCGATGCCCCCCCCCAGCAGACAGCCTCGGACCTGCACAGGGGGACACCTCTGCCCGTGCCCCCAGAGCGAACCCCACGCCACAGGTGCAGACGGGGGACGTGACCCGCAGGCAGAGGGGAGGGCTCCAACCGGCCAGGCAAGCAAAATCGAAGGCGAACCGGACGGGATCGACTGGGGAGGGGACGGGGACAAGAAAAGCGAGTCCGACACAGCCAAACACCCGAACCCGGAGCTCAGCCCAACCCCGGTAGCGGACGAGGGAGAAGAGGACAGCCCTGACCCCCTCAAACTCTTCCTGGAACCACCCAACAGGCCCGACGCCTGGTCCCCATACGATCGGATCGTTGATAGGAACGCCATCCGTGTAGTCAGGAGCGCGAGAGACAGCCCACAAAGAGCAGACAACGCAACCTGGAGAATCAACGACGCTAGGGATGACCTGACCCTCAGCCGCGCGAGCGGTGACAAGGGCCGCCAGCGACCCGTGTGGGAAGACACCAAGGACGGGGATGGCCGTGCCACCAAATTCCCAAGAGGCGACCCAGCGCGGCTGCACATTTCCGAGGCGCCTTGGAGGGACGTAAGGGCCACACAGCCACCCCGAGGAGACCCAAGCGATCCCATGGGAGGCACCCCCATGTACATGTGCCCTGTCACCGATGCGGACGTTACGAAGGAGGGACCCGTGCAGGATAAGATAATACGCCTGCAAAAAAACGCTGGGAGGAGCGTTCAACGGAGTTTGTGCCGCATGGGTGAAGAAGGCTGCCATGAGACAGGGGACCAACGGAAGCGAAAAGCACGACCCTAAACGGAACGCGATTCAGTCGCGCAGCGAATTCATCCAGGCGTGGGGCGACGCAGGGTACGACGCCTACAAGATGGACAGCGACCTAGGGCTCAACGTCCACTGGCCGTCGGTCGAGGACAAGCACACGAAGCTCCTCCAACGCGAACCCAGAACCCACGCTCAGCGCGGGCCCGACAGCAGCAGTGGACCCGCCCCATGGACGGCAGAAGGCAGGGCAGCCACGGCGGCGGCCGTGCATGATCGACGGGCAGGCGCCGTCGGCTCTGCCACCCCCACCCGGCGGCAGGGATGGCAGGAGTGGAATTCCTGGAGCCACCAGAAAGCACCGTGGACGGAAACGGATTGGAAAGGGAAACGCAAGCGCTACTCCCCCAGGGGAGACGATCGATACACAGACAAGCGCGCACGATGGTGGGGCAGGGGGGACTAGTACGCCCAGGGCTAGCAGGGTCGGGCCGGCCTGTCTGCGCGCCCCCTGCCCTCCCGGCCCGTCGCCTGCGACCCCCCCCCCGCGTCGCCCGCACCTCTCCCCGCTGGGGATGGAATCGCCTCGCAACGCCCGGCCTCGGCCGTAATGCCCTGGGGCAACTCCCACTGGGGCGGGGGCCCCCCCGCACCTCACCCATGGCGCAGCATAGCTAGACAGCCCACATGCACTGGAGAAGGGGACCTCGCCTGGACATCTCACCCCCCCTCAGCAGATGGGGACTAGCCCGCAGGCCTCACCGGTCCCGGGACCACCTACTTCGCTGCCCCTCGGCGACAGCCATTCTCTCTCGGTGACAAGGGGGCGGCCGCACATGCATCCCCCCAGCGCGCCCCTCCTTTGCTGCCCAGCCGCGACAGCCGCCCGCTCTCGGTGGCAGGGGGCAGTCGTCTGAAATAGCCCCCCTCGGCCGGTGCCTAGGCCTAGTTTGCAGCTTCAGCTGCGGCGCGCACGGCTGCGGCACATGAACCCCCCGCGAGGCGCGTCCGACGCTGGCGCGCTCCAGCTGGGACCGCATCGGCGAGGTTCTGCCACTTCCCCTCGATGTAATGGTGTTTCGCGACGGTTAGCTGCACCCCCCTCATGCGCAGATGTTCTCGGCGTGCAGCAGCTATCAAGTTACTTGTGTCTTGCGGCGGTTAGCTCCCCCCCCCCCCCCTCTCCATTGCAAAGGTGCTCTCCGCGGGTTGCGTCCACCCCTGGGCGCGCCAGGTGACTGGAGACGCCCCCCGGCCCTGCTGCGGGCTGGCCGCGGTGTGGGGCGTCGCGCGCCCCGCCGCTTCGGCCCAGTGGGTGCCCCCCATTGTGCCTCAGGGGTTTGCCCGCAGCGGCCGTGGAGGCCATCTCGGCGGGCCCGTCGGACAGGCAGCGCTGAGGTCTCCCCCCCCACGGGCCGACCCGCAGCGTTGTCCGCGGCTGGCATCGGTGGGCCTCTCCGCAGCAGGACGGCACTGCGGTGCTTGGGCAGTCGCTGGCCTCCACCGGCATTGGGCGCTGCGTGCCCGAAGGCCTTGCGCGTTGCAGCCTTGCCCAGCCCGCGCCTCGCGCGTCGTCGCGTTCAGCCCGGGCCTATTCGACGCAGGGCCGGACGCGATGCGATTGGTGCCGCCGGCCCCCCCAAACTGAGCGGTGGAGTCTGAGGGCTGCGCGCTGAGTGGTTCAGCCTTCCGCGCTATCTTTGCCTCTTGTTTTCCACCGCCGGCAGCCCGGTTTCCTGGGCTCGTGTCTCTTAGTGAGCTGGGCTGGATGCTTGGAGTTTGGCGCCGCACCGGCGACTCACTCCGTTGCACTCGCACCCGCGGCCGCTTGTTCAGTTTGGTTTACAGTGCGGCGCCTAGGTGCGTCTGCTGGTGAATGCTGAGCATTTTGTTCAGTGCATGTGCAACTGCGCGCTTGTTGTGCAGGTGCGGACCGGCCTGCCAACGTGGCGGATGGGGTCACTAATTCGCATTGTGCCGCCCGCCCCGGACATTGCCCCTCGCCGCCAGACCGTCGTCGCGCGGCCGCAGAACAAAAAAAAATACCCCACCAGCGCTGTCACTCGCTGGGCTATCATGTGGGCCCGCGCTTCGCCACGTCTGTGGCGCACCGACCTCTGGCGCCCTGTGGCGACAAGGTCCTCCAGCTCCCATGGTACCCGCACCAGTTCCGGCACGAGTGCTTGCACTTCCCTGGCTTCTGGTTCCCTGTCCGCTGGCCCTTTGGGACTCTGACCCGCCGTGTCACTCAGGAGTGGTTCAGCCTTCTTGTTCGGCCCGGCGTGTCTCCTGTTGGTCCGCAGCCTTGACCTTTGGCGCCCTGTGGCGCACAGGTCCGATGCACATACCTGGTGATTCACCTCCCATGGTACCCGCACGTTTGCAGCTTCCTGGCAGCCCCAGCAGCTTGCAGTCCCCACCCTCGGCGTCGCTGCACAGCCCCAGCCACTTCCCCCGGCGGTAGGTCCTGCTTGTTCCGCGCGCGCCGGCAATTAGTTCCGCTTGTAGCCCGAGCTGGACTCGCCGCTGGCGCCTTCTCTTCCGATTGCGACAAAAAGGTATCCCCACCAGCCCATCCAGTAAAGATGCCCATGAGAGTTGACGAGGAGAGAGGAAGAGGCACGCATAGTCAAACAGCGAGGGAGTGCCTCGTTAAAGCACCTGTCGCCCAAAGCGCTGGTGGGATTCTGGATAATTCTGGGCACTCCTGCGCACGGAGCTCCTGTCGGCGGCACGCCTGGGGGGGAACTCGAGAGAAGGAGCAGTCTCTGGCGTCGAGTAATGGGGGTGGGGGGAGAAGAAAGGTTTTGGGGAGGTGGAGGAGGAGGGGAGGGGGAGGAGGAGGAGGAGGAGGAGGAGGAGGAGGATGAGGAAAAGGGAGGAGGAGGAGGAGGAGGAGGAAGGAGAGGAGAGAAGGAGAAGGAGGAGGAAGAGGAGCAGAGAGGAGGAGAGGAGGAGGAGGCGGCGGGAGGAGGAGGAGGAGGAGGAGGGAGGAGGAGGCGGAGGAGAGGAGGAGGAGGAGGGGGAATAGGAGGCGGAGGAGGAGGAGGGAGGAGGAGGAGGAGGAGGAGGAGGAGGAGGAGGAGGAGGAGGAGGAGGAGGCGGGTTCGAGATGTGTTCCCTTTGTGACCTAAAAGGTTCCAATGGGGCCCAAAAGAGGCACGAAAGGTGCACTTTCTCCCCACCCCATCTGATCGCCCCCCGATTGACCAGCGCCCGAGCAGGCCTTCTCAGAGGACGGAGGGGCTTCTCCGAAGCCCTCGCGCCTCCTCAGAAGCGTCCTGCGCTTTCGGGGAAGGCTCAAGAGAAGTAAGCATTGTGGGACGCCTGGAGGCCTCCAGGGCCTTCTGAGAAGGCCCACCTCCTCCTCCTCCTCCTCCTCCTCCTCCTCCTCCTCGTCCTCCTCCTCCTCCTCCTCCTCCCTCCTCCTCCTCCGTTTCCTTCTTCACACTGCCCCCCCCCCCGCTCGCCGCCGAGCCTAGACACCCAAAAACTCAGAAGGGAAAGGTAATTACCGGGGCCGATGCCCTGGCCTCGTGTTCGCCCTGTTGGGCCTCCTGGGCGGCCCTCTTCGCCGCGGCTGGATTCGCCTCCAAGTCCTGGGCGGAAGGCGCTCTGGGAGAGGTCCGGTGACCAGCTGTGTCGGTGTATTGTGGCTTCCCCACTCCCAGGCCTCCTGTAGGAGTGGGCCCTCCATCAAAGCATATATGAATATTACACGAACACACAATTTCGACGGCCCGCGCAGATCTCGGAACTGCGCTGGACCCCCGGCGCTTCCGGCGGCTGCAGCTCTCCACGCCAGGCAGGAGGGGCCCAGCGCAGGTCCGAGAGATCCGCGCGGCCCCTCGAGAGTCGCTGGTGTGTGCCCGGAGGCCAGAGGCCACGGAGAGTCGGGCGTTCGGCAATGGGCGGGCGATCAGTGGGGGGCGTCGAGGGTTGCACGAGAGGGGCCCTAAACGAGCGCCCCAGGGCCCCGCAGGGGCACGACAGGTGCACCTCTGCCCCCCCCCCCCCGAGCTGTCGCCCCCCCATTAGCGAGCGCCCGAGGGAGGCCCTCCCCGAGGAGGCCGCGGGGGGCACCCCGGCCGGGGACGCCGGGCGGCAGCCCCCCGAGCCCCAGAGGGCGACCGGCGCGGTGGGCTGCCTGGATGCGCTCGGGCTGGTGCTCGGGAGGCGCAAGCCGCCGGCGGCGCGCGGCAGCGGGGCGGAAAACCAAGATCACGAGACCTCTTTCTCCTTTTCCTCCTCCTCCTCCTCCTCCTCCTCCTCCTCCTCCTCCTCCTCCTCCTCCATCCGTCAGTCACCACGGCCCAGGTCCCCCACAGGCGGCCGCCTGACCCGCGCAGACGCACCACGGGAGCAAGGGTGGCCTGGCTGGCGCTCTGACTGCGGTGTGCCGCCTCCCCTGGCGGAGCACCGCAGGGAGGCAAGCGCGCACGCTGGCGCTCGCGCTGGACATGGCGGTGAGGCTGCTCGCTGCCCTGGCGCTGGCAGCGATGGGGCGTGCTCTGGCGGACCCCGCCACTGGTGAGCGCTGGTGTTTCGTGGGGTGCTGGAACCCGAGCGCGTACCGCCTGGACGAGGTGAGCACCGTCTGGCGCTCCGTGGGGGTCGTGGCGTTCCCTGGCACTGGCGCCCGCGCGTGGCAGAACGAGCTCCACCACGCGGCGAACGCGGCCTACCACCACACGGTACAGTTCGGCTGGGCAAGGGGGCGCCTCACCACGAAGGCGTGCGGGTGTGCGGTCATGATCAACAAGAGGTGGTTCGGCAAGAACGATATCCGCCGTATCATCACGCCCCCTGCCCAGCTGAGAGGACGCGGTGACATGATCTACCTCATCTCGGGCCCTGTCATGTTGACTGTGATGGTCCTCTACTTCCCGCCGCGCCCGAGCAAGGTTGGCACGGCGGCGGTGTATCGCGACACGTGCTCCCAGCTGCTGCGGTGGGCCCAGACCGAGTACGCGGCCATCCCGCAGCGGTACACGCCGATCCTGTGCATGGACCTCAGCGGTCGGCCCCTACGGCGCCCCCTCTGGAGCCCGACACCAGCAAGAAACTGCACGAGTGGATGGACATGGTGGGCCTGATCACGATCAACACGTTCTACCCGTGCGGGAACACGTACGAGGGCTCCCAGGGGGCGAGCCAGATCGACTATGTCCTCATCCCTGCGGCCGCGCGCCCATTGGTGAGCTGGGCGGCTACGTGGCGACGCACGCCGCAGGATGGCCGCTCCATGCCTGGAGTGCTGGACCACATCCCCATCGTCCTCAAGATGAAGATGGTGCCGCCGATGAACCTGACCCCGAGGAGGGAGCGGTGGGACCTCGCGAAGCTGAGCCAGGCTACGCTGGTCGGCGAGGGCCGCGAGGCCTTCCTCCGCGACGTGCAGGAGCAGCTGGAGACCCACCGCGCGGCGCACGAGGTCCTGGAGAGTAGGGGGTCACGACGGGCCACGCGGCACTGCTGATGACGATGATCCGCGACGTCGGCCTCAACCACTTCTCCCAGGAGCAGGTCAAGGACCCCAAGCGCGAGCTGATGACCACCAGGAAGTGGCAACTGCTGAAGATGCGGCGGGAGCTCCTCCAGAGCATCACGGCACAGGACGCCGCCGCGGATGGCGACGCTGCTTGGAAGTACAGCATGGCGATCAAGGCCTGCGCGAAGTCCCTCAAGACCCACAGGAGGCAGGCCTTGGAGGAACAGCATCAGCAACCAGAGAACGAGCTCTCCAACGCGTGGCGGCGCCGCGACATGGCGGCTGCCCCGCGCCTCTCGCGGGCGCTCGCGAGGACAGGGAGCGGCATCAAGAACCGCAACTACCGTGCCAACCCGCTCTATTCGCCCTCGGCCCAGGAGTGGAGCGACGTCCTGCAGCTCCAGCCGTTGGAGGGCGGCCTGAGCGGCGAGCCGATCTCGGCCCCTTGGAGTGCTGACGCCTCAGCAGAGCGGCTCGCGCAGTTGGCGAACATCGACGAGCGCGCGCACCCCGGCGCTTATGACGTCCCGATCGACATGGGGAAGCAGGCGAAGGGGGGCTTCAAGGCCACGCGCAAGGCCATCCGCAGGTCGAAACTGGGACGGTATGCGCCGAGATGGTCGGCCCCCGCAGAGCTCTTCAAGATCCAGATCAACCCCGCGTGGATCAGCATGCCGAGCGGGCACGTCCCGCTGGGCTCCGGTCGCGAGGCGGGGCCGCGCGGGCGACTGAACCGCGCGCGGCGGAGCCCTGCGACCAGGAGCAGCTGGCCCACCTGGCAGAGTACGGCGAGGCTGCCTACAGGCCCTTCAGGCTGGCGGCGCACGCCAGGCGGACGGGGGCCCTTCCCGCCCAGGCGTCCTTGTCCTACAGTTTCGCGCCCGACGAGAAGAACGGCCGCCCTGGGCCGGCTGGCAGGAGGATCTCTCGCGCCGCGTGCCCGCGATGGAGGGCGTGCGCGCGGGGCCAACTCCTACGCGGAGGCTTGCACCGGCCGCTGCCGCGGGCCTTCGCCTGCCGAGGTCGCCGCCGTGAGCACCTGATGATCTGAACTAAGGTGGCGGCCTGGAAAGGCATTCGAGGCGGACAGCCGACTCCGCACAAAAGCTTCGACGCCACCAACGTTTTCGCCCGCGGCCACGAGCACCAGTTGGAGGAGGGCGTCCGCGAGCACCTGGAGGAGGGGCCTGAGCTGCAGAACCAGGACACCACCTTCGCCACCATCGATGCGGCAGACCAGCTCACGGCCATCATCGATGCGGCAGACCAGCGCCACGCGGTCTGCAGCGGCAGCGGCGGCTTCACGGGCGACACCTCGAATCCCGAGATCTTCATGCACAACTACCACCGCGCGGTCAAGGCGTGGACCGCCCACCCTCGAGCGCCACCAGCGCGACAGCAACGCCGTCACCACCATCGGCCGCTTCGCGTCCGTCGACGCGAGCGCGGGCACCTTCGTGGGTGACATCTTCAAGACGCCGCTCATCGACCCCAAGGCCCACTCGCCGATGGACATCGCCAGCGCTTCCAAGAACAACGCCTTCTCCTTGGGCACCTCCCTGGCGGCGAGGGGACACGCGCAGAACCGCGAGAAGCACGGCGCCATTCCCGCCCTGAGGTCGCGGCAGCTCGCGCGCCAGACCATCGAGGCGCTCCTGGACTCAGGTTGCCACGCCGGCTACGAGCTGAAGCACCTGGGCGCCTGGTTCGACGCGGCCAGCAACGCCGACGAGCTCAAGGCCAGGCTCCAGGCCCTCAACCGCGGCTGGATGATGGCCATGGGCTTCTGGTGCTCGAGAGCGCCCCTCAGGACGACGCGGCCAATGTTCTTCTCGCTGGTGTCGGGCGCGGGCCTCCCTGGCACCGTTGCTACGTGCTGGGCGGAGAGCGAGTGCAGAACCTTATGCCCCTCCCTGGTGCGCAAGCTCCGCTCCCTGATGGGCGGCACCACCAACTAGTCGCACCACCTGCTGCGGCCGCCCGCGACGGAGCAGCAGATGCGGACTATGACATCGCGCGAAGTCTACAGGCACTGGCAGCCGGTGCATTTTGCGCGGGGGGCCACTGTGCAACGCCTCAAGGCTTGGCAGAGCATCCTCAGGAATCCCGCGAACCACGCGCACTTCCTGTCGGTGTTCTTCGGCACAAAGAAGTAGGAGGAGGAGGCTGAGTACGCGCGCCCACTTGTTTTGACGCCGGCTGGCGATATCAATGACAACCCTGGGATGCACCCGTGGGCAGCGCAGCTCAAGCGTGATATGCAGACCGGTGTGGACCACCCCGAGGCGGAGAGTTTCGCGTCTGGCGATATCCGCGTGCTGATCTGGGACCCTGAAGTGACTGACCTGTTTCTTGCCTTTGATCCGACGGCCCTGCGCACGGCCTTCACGTCTTCGACCTGGCGGCCGCCCGCTGCACTGGCCGACTGTGCCTGCCGAGACGGATGGCGGAGAAACATGGGGGAATCTTGCTCCAGCGCTCGTCTGCAACATCGTCGTCGGGGAGGGGGTCAGGCGCGGGGGGTCGTTCAGGACACGAGCAGCACTTATCGCACGCACCACGCAGAGCCAGAAGGAGGGACACGGTGGGAAGAGTATACTGCACATCATCACTCCGACGAGCGCCTGCATCAACTGTTGCACGCTATTCCAGGATCGCACGGGGGCAGCGCGGCACTTGACGCGGTCACGGCACGCGGGCAGATGCATCATGGATAGCACAGCGTACCCTTGCACGTTCATCAACCCGACCAGCCTGCACTGCACCATTGTGACTTCACGTCGTCTTCGTATCCTTCGCTCCGTCGCCACCGGTGCTCGCGCCTGCCACTGACGCAGGAGGGCGCCCCGCTGGCCGCGGTCGCCCCTCGGCCCCCTCGCCTTCCACCCGAGCGGAGGCCATAGCCCGCCATTGCCAGCGCTGGAGGGCGCGCTCGCGGGAGCGAGCTTCGCGCGCTGCCTGGGCTTCTCGTCCGCGGAGACGAACTACGGCGGCTGCAGCGGCGGGGCGACGGCAGCGGCGGCGACGCCCATGGGCGACAGCCTAGTCAGGCCACCGTGGCGGGCCCCGCGGGGCTCCTCAGCTGCCTCCGCGAGTGGCGGCAAAGGCGGGAAGGCCAGCGCCGAGGGCCGCAAGAAGCATAAAGGCCAGGACGGAGCTGGCGTCGCTCGCGGAGCCGCAGGCGCCGAGGGCACGGCGACCTAGCCGAAGCCCACGCGTCGCGGCGGCCGCCGCCGAGGCGGCGACAAGGGGCGCAAGCTGACCACCAACGACGGTGGCCTCCGCGAGTTGCTGCCGATGCTGACCGTGCAGGTCACCGCGCTCACGCAAAAGAGCCGCGCGATGTGGGGGATCCTCACCAGGGCGGCCACCCTCGAGGAGGCCAGCCCCGCGGTCAAGCAGGAGGAGGGGAAGGCGTTCGCGGAGAACGCGCAGAACCTGCGGAGCAAGGTGGCCAAGATGAAAGAGGTCGCGAAAACGGCGATGGGGGACCGACAGCGAGTCCGAGGCCGTGGCGACCCGCGACGCGGAGGCAGCCATCGGCGAGCTACGCGACCTCGGCCCCCCGACGCAGGCCGCGTTCGCCGCCATGGTGGAGTCGCTCGCGGAGCAGGAGGTCGGAGAGGTCAACGGAGTAGCTCTGGAGGCCTGGGCGACCAGCATGGTGGGGGACCCTCCCGACTACGTGAAGTTGTGCAGGCTGGAGAATTGCTACCAGGAGGGCCAGGCCAAAATCGTGTTCTCGGTTTCGGACCAGGGGGGAGAAAACGTCCTGGTGGACGCGTTCCGTGCCCTGGGAGCCCAGATCACTCGAGGCCAGGTCCCAGCGGGCTACATGGAAGAAGAGTTGAGCGCCTGGATCGACGCGTTGAAGGCCTAGACCAGGGACCGACTGAGTAGCAACAGCTTGATCGTGATAGCTCCGAGGTGCTGCGTACTGCCCCGTCCCGTGTGAGCGAGGTTGTGCAGCCGTGGCACCCGCTACATACCTGTGCAGAGGCCAGCGCCTCGGACAGCGGGCACCTCTGACCTCTAGTGGTGAGGTCGATTTTGCCTCCGTCCTCTCGGGCCCTCGGCTTGCCCGTCGGTCCCCCGTGGCCCTCGTCGGTCCCTCCGCTCGGCGGTTCCTCGCTGGTCGGTTCGTTTTGTCCTCTGTGTTCGGTTCGTCGGGAGCGGATTGGCGCTCGTGGCTCCAAATGTTTCAGTAGAGCGTACACTCGATTTAAGGCGGAACAGAACATTGCCCAATAGCTTCCTCCTCCTCCTCCTCCTCCTTTTCCTCCTCCTCCTCCTCCTCCTCCTCCTCCTCCTCCTCCTCCTCCTTCTCCTATCCTTATTCCTTATTAGAATATACTCCTACTCCCCCCTCAGGCCGGCCATTAGGGGCCGCATCCGGGTGGTCCCATCCTAACCTGTAAAAAAACAATACAAAATCAACATTTTTCTTATTTTTTCCTCTCGACATGGACGTCCTGTCGTCCACGGCGATAATCCATTGCAAAAAATACAACACAAAGAGCACACGCGCGCGTTCATGTCAGAATCCTACCGAACACCGTGTGTTTGCAAGCATTTCAACATAAAAACATCAAAAACCCAATGTTTTTTTTTTCACAAAAATTGTACAAATTTCCCGCCCGGGCTCTCTTGCTGAAATCATAGGAAAACCATAGGAATCTTAAGAATTCTGTCAAATCCAGCGATTTCACGTCATCGCGCGGTGCACTCGCGATGCTCTGTCATGCACCCAGGCCGCGAATCCTGTGCAAAAAAAACCACAAAGAGCACACTCGCGCGTTCATGTCAGAATCCTACCGAACACCGTGTGTTTGCAAGCATTTCAACATAAAAACATCAAAAACCCAATGCTTTTTCACAAAAATGCTTTGGGGTGTCCTGTCAGACCGTCGGGCTTCCTCCGGCCACCTCTGGCTTCCTGCGGTGTACCGGGCCATTCTCGACTCGTCTGGCAATGCGTGCGCGGCATTCAACACGCGCTCGCCAGTTCCCGTCGGCAACCGCCATCGCGGCCGCATCAGCTGTACCAAACCGGCTGGCCGGTGTGACTTCGGCCCCCAGTTGTGCCAGCTTTGCTTCTTATGTTGTGGGAGGGCGGGTGGGACTGGGCATGCCATGCTTGACTCGCTCGAGCTGGCTAGCTTGACTCCTACTCCTACTCCTACTCCTATCCTTATTCCTTATTAGAATATACTCTTACTCCCCCCTCAGGCCGGCAGATAGGGGCCCCATCCGGGTGGTCCCATCCTAACCTGTAAAAAACAATACAAAATCAACATGTTTCTTATTTTTTCCTCTCGACATGGACGTCCTGTCGTCCACGGCGATAATCCATTGCAAAAAATACCACAAAGAGCACACGCGCGCGTTCATGTCAGAATCCTACCGAACACCGTGTGTTTGCAAGCATTTCAACATAAAAAACATCAAAAACCCAATGATTTTTTTTCACAAAAAATTGTACAAATTTCCCGCCCGGGCTCTCTTGCTGAAATCATAGGAAAACCATAGGAATCTTAAGAATTCGGTCAAATCCAGCGATTTCACGTCATCGCGCGGTGCACTCGCGATGCTCTGTCATGCACCCAGGCCGCGAATCCTGTGCAAAAAATACCACGCGGGCGAATTGCGCGCGCGTCGCCGCGAGCGCATGCTCAAATCCTTCTAGAGTCGTCGCCGTCATTGGCACCGTCGCATGGACGTCCTGTCGTCCACGTCGCAAAATGCATGGCAGGAATGGGACCCGGCTTACCGGGCCGTTCTCGACACGGCCACCTCTGGCTTCCTGCGGTGTACCGGGCCATTCTCGACTCGTCTGGCAATGCGTGCGCGGCATTCAACACGCGCTCGCCAGTTCCCGTCGGCAACCGCCATCGCGGCCGCATCAGCTGTACCAAACCGGCTGGCCGGTGTGACTTCGGCCCCCAGTTGTGCCAGCTTTGCTTCTTATGTAGTGGGAGGGCGGGTGGGACTGGGCATGCCATGCTTGACTCGCTCGAGCTGGCCAGCTTGACTCCTACTCCTACTTTTCCTTTCCTCCTCCTCCTCCTCCTCCTCCTCCTCCTCCTCCTCCTCCTCCTTTCCCCCTGGACCCTTACAGAAAACCACGTCAGGGGACGGGGGCCAATTGCAGGGGGACCCCGAACCAAGAAACACCTTGCTTGCCTCCATGGTGCCCTGGGTTTCTTGGGTTCCCATGGTTTTGCTAATGGAGAGCGTGACGCTCCCACACCAAACACCAATGAACGTCCTGGGGTCACAGTGTTGGGTTTCTTGTGGAAGGTTCCTTGTGGCCGAGCTCCTATTGTAGGGAGGAGGACGAGGACGAGGACGAGGACGAGGAGGAGGAGGAAGACGAGGAGGGCGAGTTTGAGGAGGAGGAGGAGGAGGAGGAGGAGGAGGAGGAGGAGGAGAAGGAGGAGGAGGAGGAGGAGGAGGAGGGCGAGTTTCTTGCGGTCGAGCTCCTACTATATGGGCCCTGGGAGGGGCCGCGGGGCGGGGCGCGGAAGCGGGGCGCGCCTCTGCTGGCCTCAGCTTGCCTTCGTGGGCCGCCCTCACCTGGTCGCTGCGGCATGGGGATCCGTTGTGCGCCGATCCGGGTCCCCAGACCCCCTCGCGCTGGGAAAGAAAACACAACTGGAGGTTTCTCCCTGTTTTCGGCCTCCGGGTGCCCTCGCCGGGCCTCTCGGGGCCGTCAGGAGACGATTCGGGATGAGGGCTCCAGGCTTCGGGGGGTCGACGTGGTGAAAAGATCACGGCGGCGGGGGTCTCGGGTCGGGCCGGGCGGGGCGGAGGCTTCGAAGAGAGCTTGGAGGGCGGGGGGGGGGCTCCCAGAAGCCCCCCCTGCCCACGGGGCCCGAGGACGGCCCCCCAGAGGCTGGAAACTGCGAGACACCGGAGGCGCGCGAAAACTGACGAATCGACAATCCCTGGGGAGGAGGAGGAGGAGGAGGAGGAGGAGGAGGAGGAGGAGGAGGAGGAGGAGGAGGAGGAGGAGGAGGAGGAGTACATGAGGGGCAGAGAGAAGGGTGCCGCGCCCTCTTGGGGCCCTGCGAGCCCCCCGTCTGGGCCCCAGAGGGCCCTCTCCAGGAGGGCCGCCCCCGTCGTCCCACCGCCTCGTGCGCGCCGCCGGGCCAAGCTTAAGTCGGGCCTGTCCCTCTACAGGAGGAAGGGTCCCAAAGTAGTAAGAACATACTGTCGGGCCGCTGGAAGCAGGAACGCTAAATAAGGAACGAAACCCCTTCTTGTCCCGGCAAGCGCCTCCGTGTCCCAGGAGGACAAGAGGAACAACGCCAGAGGGACCTAAGGAACATCGAGCCCCTTTCCGAACCCAAACTGTTCCTTATTTCAGCGTCTGGGCTATAGTCAGGGGGCGATGTTTCGGTTATTTTGTGACCATTTGGGTATTTGTTGACGGTTGTTTTTGTACAGGAGGAAGATTCAGAAATCTCAGGAGGGGAAAAAACACACAGACACAATTAGTTGTCGACTCCCAGGAAACTATGGGAAAATATGGGAAGTGGGGGGGAAGACAAAAACCCAGAAAATATGGGACAATATGAAGAATCCTGTTATTTTTGTGTGTGCATTTATTTGTGTGTCCCAGGGCCCCTTCAAAATAGTAAGAAAGTAGTCAGGGCACGATTTGTCGATTCTTTTGTGGCAATTTTGGTGTATGGTTTGGCTGCCTTTGTTTTTTTTTCGTCCAAAATCCCCCTGTAGGAGGACAGGCCCGACTTAAAGCCAATCATGGGAGCGCCCAGGGCTCTCAAGGGAGCAGGTCGCTGCCCACCGCTGGCGCTTCCGCCGCCGCCTCGGGGGTGGCTCGCGTCGGGGGGCAGCTGCAGAGGAAGACGGCCAACCTCCTCGGAGATTTCTGGGAGGGGCAGCGGAAGTGGCAGAAGCACAGCTCCGTGAGGGCGATGGTGATGGAGGCGGGCCCCGGCGCGATACGGAATCACGGCGATGCCGAGTGGCTCGATCACTTAGCGCGCGAGTGCTGGCCGAGAGTCCAAAAGTACGTGGAGACCCTTGTGTCGGAGACGATCGAGCCACTGATCAACAGGCTCCTGCCGAATGTTTTGAAGGGCTCTGTCCGCTTCAGTCGCGTGAATCTGGGAAATGCGACACCCAAGTTTGGCCCGTTGGAGGTGATCTCGTCTCCAAAAGTTGGTACCATCGAGTGTCGTTGTGGCATGCGCCTGGAGACATCAGACCTGCATGTGGGCTTGACTGCGATGGGGCTTCCTCTCGGCATCTCGAAGATCACCCTGGACGGCAGAATCTCCGTAGTCTTCCGGCCACCGCTGGCCAGGCCCCCATTCTTCGGGGGCCTCGAGGTCTACATGGTCAACGCCCCGGACCTCGACATCGAGTTCCGAGGGGCCGCTCAGATTGCGCAGTCTGCGTCCGTAAGGCCTGCGGTCCGGACTGCCATTCGTCAGGTGATCTCTCGCGTCATGGTCCTGCCAAACCGCATCGCCGTGGACCTCGACGACTCCGACGACGTGGATATAGCAGACTTGAAGTGCCCGGACCCTGTGGGCGTCCTCAGGCTCACGGTGCTGAGGGCCGAGAACCTGCTGGCTGCCGACTTTGCGCTGCCTGGCGCGGAGGCCTCCTCTGACCCCTACGTCGTCGTGAAGGTGGGAGCCCACTGCTGGAGCACCTCGGTGGTGAGGCAGAACCTGAACCCCGCGTGGGGCCACGACGGCGCCGGGGAGACCCACGACTTCTTGGTGCACGACCCGGCGCAGGAGCTGAGCGTGGAGGTGTTCGACCAGGACATGATGTCGAGCGACGACATCATCTCGGCGGCGAGCGAGGGGGGGAAACGGGAAGGAGCAGGCCTTCTCGGAAGGCGGCGGGACTTCTCAGAAGCCCTCCGGCCTTCTGAGAAGTGTTCTGTGTCTTCGGGGCAGGCTCAGAAAACTTCTCGGAGGACTGGGGGACTTCCGAGCCTTCTGAGAAGGCCTTCTCCTTCTCATTCCCCCCTGGGCGCGCCACTTAATTTAGTTTTTGGGTCGTAACGCGGCTCTCCGGTGGCCGTTCGTGGCGATCCGGACGCCCCCGGAACGCTCTCGGCGAGGCGCAGCCGTTGGAACGCATCCCGAGGGCGGAATGCCGCCAGGGAACTACGAAAACGCTTGAAAACCTCGAGCCCCAAACTACGAAACCCGACCCCCCCTCGCTCGCCGCCGATCATCGGCGTGAAGCGAGGGATCCCGCTCTCCCGCCTGGCGGGCCCGGGTGGCCCCGGAGGCGCCGTCGAGCTCGAGCTGGCCGGGGCGGGCGGGGAGCCTCTGCCCGGCAGGCTCTTCGTCGCGGGGAGCTGGCTGGACCTCCGGCCGCGGCACTCCGGCTTCTGCGCCCTGCTCTTCCTCGGGATCCCGCAAAGGGGAAGGGTGTGCCCCTATAGGGCCGGGCGAAAGGGGGGAGATAGAGGGAAAGGGGGGGCACGAAATCTGCTGCGTGCAGTTGGTTTCGGCCCCACCGAGGGGCCCATTCCTCGATACATGGCCGCCTCCGGCGCCGGGAGGCGCCGGGAAAATCAGCTATACGTGAGCCGAGTCTCAAACACCCCCTTTGCTACCCCCCCCTTTCGCCCGGCCCGTGCCCCGGGGGAGGGGGAATCGAATAAGGACCAAAAAACGTCACAAGCGTCAGCTTTTGGCGCTCCGCGCGGATTTCTTGGATCCGCGCTGGGTCACCCCGGTGGCGCCTCCGGCGCCGCCCTTGCCGCGCTCCGCGCGCCAGGGAGGGGGGTCCAGCGCGGATCCAAGAAGTCCGCGCGGAGCGCCAAGAGTTCATATTGATGTCGTTTGTTGTTGCTTCTGGGGGTGCGAGTTCGATCGGCTGTTGCACCGAACCGCCCAGAACAGATGCCCCTCAGCCGCCAGCAGCTCCCGATAACTGCCGATAGGCGGGGCATGCGGGGGGCATCTGTGTGCGGCAGTTCGGTGCACCGACGGATCGAACTCGTGCCCCCCCCTCAGTCCCTAAGGGCTTGACGACTTTTCGCCAATCGACTTGTGGGGATCGAGCCAGATAAATCCAGGTAATTGCAGATAAATCGAGCTACATCCAGGTAGATCAAAACAAGTCCTGGCAAAAACCCAGAGATCTCCAAGGAAAATTGGAGCAACTCGCGGCCGCTCCAGCGCGAGTCGAAGGACAGGAGAAGTCGTCAAGCCCTCAACAACTCAGGGCCCCCCCCTCTCTGGCGGATCCCGGTCCTCGTCGTCAAGGTGCAGGAGGTGCGGGGCTTGCCGTCGGACGCCCTCTTCCCGTTCCGGGTCGAGGCGTCCGTCCAGGGCAGCAAGGCCGCCACAAGGATTGAGTCGGGCCTGTCCCTCTACAGGGGGAATATTCAAAAATAGTCAAAAAGTAGTCTGCGGACTCTTTTTGTAGTATTTTTGGGGATCTTTTGAATATTTTTGGGGTATTTTTTGTTTTTCGTCAGGGGGACAGGCCCGACCTAACACAAGGAATAGCTTCGCGAACAGGGCCCGGGGGGCGGCGAGGCCTCTGCGGGAGCTGTGCCTCGAGAAGCTCCGCGGCGGCGAGGGCGTCCCAGCGGTGTGCCAGTCGCTGGGCCTGAGCTGATGGGCCTGTTGTCCACCACCACCACCACAAGTTGGAGGGGGGAAGGAGGTGGAGGACGAGGACGAGGACGAGGACGAGGAGGAGGGGGAGGAGGAGGAGGAGGAGGAGGAGGGAGGAGGAGGAGGAGGAGGAGGAGGAGGAGGAGAAGGAGGAGGGGGGAGGAGGAGGAGAAGGAGGAGGAGGAGGAGGAGGAGGAGGAGGAGGAGGAGGAGGTGGAGAAGGAGGACGAGGAGGAGGAGGAGGAGGAGGAGGACGAGAACGACGACGAGGAGAAGGAGAAGGAGAATGAGGAGGAGGTGGAGGTGGAGGACGAGGTGGAGGAGGAGGAGGAGGAGGAGGAGGAGGAGGAGGACCCCCTCCCCCTCCAACGTATGGAGGTGGTGGTGGTGGAAAACAGGCCCATCATGAGCGAGGAGCAGGTGATGAACATCCGAGCGGCCGGGGATCCGGACGACCTTGAGCTCCGGAGGAAGGTCAAGGAGATCGTCAGCCTGCATGCTGCGACAAATCCGCACTGGCAGGAGATCTTGCACGTGGTGGCCCCAGACGCAGCTGCTGGCCGAGTCGCCGGGGGGGTCGTTGAGGTGAAGCTGGAGCTGAAAGACAAGAGTGACACGGTTTTAGGGGCCACGGTGGTGAAAGTAGAACTTTCCACAGATAGGGGGTTGGAGCACCGCGGCCCTTTCACTCTGGAGCCGATCGGGGCCACGCTCGTGGGAGGTGTGCGCACAGTGTTTCTTGTTGACGACAAGCCAAAAGCAGATGCCACAGCCGTGGCGCGGAGACAGTCGGACGTGAGGCCGATAGAGGCGTCCACGCGATTGTGAATGTGTACAGACGGCTTCCTAGGATCCTAGGATAGCGTTGCAAGGTTTCGGCGGTTCCGGAACGATAGCGTGTAACATATAGGTTGTTTGGCCAGTCGGTGCGCATGCATTCGAGTATTGCTTCGCTGGCTGACGCCACATCCGCCGATCCCTTGTGGGTCGGGATGCCTTCCTTCGGGATCGGTCCCGCGTTTTCGGGACGTGCGGATTGTTGTGAAGACCCGTGGTGCTGCGCGACCATGTGGGAAGCCCCAACCAGACCCCTAAAGATTCTATCTTAGGCCGTCTGGGAGACCTGTTGGGGGCTTTGGGGGGCCTCTTGGGTTTGGTGGGAGCTGTCTTGGCGCCGTCTTGGGACTCTTGGGCCGTCTGTGGCGTCTCCAGAGGCCCGGCTGCAGGCTTCAAGCGGTGGTCAAAGACGAACGATTCCACACACAGTCAACCGCATAGTAAGGATGAGCGACTTTCTAAGGCTACCCTTGCATCCTTCCCCTTCGGCCAATCCTTGGCTGCTTCCGCTGCCCGCGCCCCGCTCGCAAAGTGTCGACATGGCCTCCCAAAGGCCCGTACATCCTTACCGTGCGTCCTTGTGGTACGGGCTGACTGTGGTCCTTGCTTGGGGGGTCAGTCACGCGCTCCAGTCTTTGGAGACGCCGATCGAGGCGCAGACTCCAACCGCGAGCCTTCAGCTTCTGCCCTCCTCGAGGACGGCGTGCTCGAGGTCCCGACAACGGGGCGCCCTGGGACCGTCCCAGGTGCACTCCGTGAATGCCCGCTCCAGGACGGGTGCGCCCTAGGCTCAGACTCGGCGGCGAGCGAGGGGGGGGAAGCGAGAGGGAGAAGGCCCTCCTCCTCCTCCTCCTCCTCCTCTTCCTCCTCCTCCTCCTCCTCCTCCTCCTCCTCCTCCTCGTGCCAAGAAAGGAGAGGACAGAGGCGGGCCAGCAGGCAGAAGCAGGGGGCGAGACTGCACGTCCGATCCCTCTGGCGTTGGCGCTGGGCCCGCCGACCCTGCCGGGCGAGCGGGCCAGCGCGGCCTGGCGCCGCTCCGGACAATCTCCGCGACACCCTGCGGAGTCTACAGCTGACACCCCCAATTAATCAAACACCGCGCCTCCTCCTCCTCCTCCTCCTCCTCCTCCTCCTCCTCCTCCTCCTCCTTCCCTCCTCCTCCTCCTCCTCCCTCCTCCTCCTCCTCCCTCCTCCTCCTCCTCCTCCCTCCTCCTCCTCCCTCCTCCTCCTCCTCCTCCTCCTCCTCCTCCTCCTCCTCCTCCTCCTCGTCCTCCTCCTCGTCCCGAGCGGCCGCTGGAGACGTTGTCAGAAGGCGGCTGGACTTCTCAGACGCCCTCGCGCCTTCTGAGAAGTTTCCCGTGTTTTCGGGGAAGGCTTAGAGAACTTCTCAGGAGGCCAGAGGACTTCCGGGCCTTCTGAGAAGGCCTTCTTCTTCTCACTTCCCCCCCAGGCTCGTCGCCGCTATGCCTATCCCCCGATGGCTTTCAGGCTGGAACTCGGGCCTCCCGCGGTCGTTGGGAACGAGTCCGGCTCCCCCAAAACACCCTCGGCGAGGCGCAGCTGCTGGAACGCATCCCGAGGCTGGAAAGCCGCCGCGAAGCGACGAAAACGACCGAAGACCTAGAACCTCGAGTCGAAAACGACCCCAAAAACCTGGCGCCTCGCTCGCCGCCGAGGTGGGGCCGCCTCTTGGGGCGCTGGCGGTCATGTGAGCCTCTTGGGACGTCTTGTATGCCGCTGGGAGCCTCTGGGGGGCCTCTTTGGGAAAATGCGCCAGTGGATCTCCCTGAATACACTAAAGGGGGGGGGGGTCCAGAACCCCCCCCCCCCCCCCCTTCCCTTGAAGGGGGGGGGGTGTCCGGACCCCCCCCCCTTTGGCGCTGGAAGGGGGGGGGGGGTTCGGACCCCGCCCCCTCCTCGTGTAGGGAGTACGGAATTGGGAGTAGGGGGTGGTGAGTAGTGAGTGAGTTAGTGCGTAGTGAATAGTGAGTATTGGTTAGTGAGTAGTGGGTAGTGAGTGGCGAGTAGGGAGTAGGGAGTGGGGAGTAGTGAATAGTGAATAGTGAACAGTGTGTACTGGTAAGTGAGCAGTGAGTGGCGAGTAGTGAGTAGTGAGTAGCGAGTAATGAGTAGTTAGTACTGAGTAGGGAGTAGGGGGTAATGAGTACTGAGTAGTGGGTAGTGAATAGTGGGTAGTGAGTAGTGAGTAGTGGGTAGTGCGTAGTGCTTAGTGAGTAGTGGGTAGTGCGTAGTGAGTAGTGAGTAGTGGGTAGTGACTAGCGAGTAGTGACTAGTGAGTAGTGAGTACTGATAAGTACGTAGTGCGTAGTGAGTAGTGAGTAGTCATGAATAGATGACAGTGGGTAGTGAGTAGTGTGTAGAGAGTAGGGAGTAGCGAGTAGTGAGTAGTGAGGTGCGAGTAGGGCGTAGTGAGTGGCGAGTAGCGAGTAGTCAGTAGTGAGTAGTGGGTAGTGATCAGCGAGTAACGAGTAGGGAGTAGCGAGCAGGGGGTAGGGAGTAGGGAGTAGTGAGCCGTGAGGAGTAGTAAGGATTGGGTAGCGAATAGTAGGTAGTGAGTAGCGATTGGTGAGTAGTGGGTAGTGACTAGTGAGTTGTGACTAGTGGCTAGAGACTATGCAGTGACTAGTGAGTAGGGAGTAGTAAGTAGTGAATAGTGAGTGGTGAGTAGCGGGGAGAGAGTAGTGAGTCTTGAGTAGCGAGTATGGGAGTAGCGAGTAGTAAGTACTGAGTACTGTGTAGTCAGTATTGTGTAGGGAGTAGCGACTAGCGACTAGCGAGTAGTGGGTAGTGAGTAGCGATGTGTGGGCAATGCGTAGTTAGTAGTGAGTAGTGGATAGTGGGTAGTGTGCTTAGTGAGTAGTGAGTATTGAGTAGTGGGTAGTGAGGAGTGAGTAGTGAGAAGTGAGCGGGGAGGAGGAAGTAGTGAGTAGGGAGTAGTGAGTAGCGAGTAGTGGTTGGTGGGTAGTGAGTAGTGGATAGTGAGTAGTGAGTCGTGAGTAGCGAGTAGGTGGTAGTGAGTAGCGAATAGCGAGTAGTCAGTAGTGGGTAGTGAGTAATGAGTAGTGGGTAGTGACTAGTGACTAGTGACTAGTGACTAGTGAGTTGTGACCAGTGGCTAGAGACTATGTGGTGACTAGTGAGAAGGGAGTAGTAAGTAGTGAGTAGTGAATGGTGAGTAGCAGGGAGTGAGTAGTGAGTATTGAGTAGCGAGTATGGGAGTAGCGAGTAGTGAGTACTGAGTGCTGTGTAGTCAGTATTGTGTAGGGAGTAGCGAGTAGTGGGTAGTGAGTAGTGATTTGCGGGCAATGAGTAGTTAGTAGTGAGTAGTGAGTAGTGGATAGTGGGTAGTGAGTAATGAGTAGTGATTAGTGAGTAGTGAGTAGGGAGTAGTGAGTAGTGCTTAGTGAGTAGTGAGTAGTGAGGAGTGAGTAGGGAGTAGGGAGAAGGGAGTAATGAGTAGGGAGTAGTGAGTAGCGAGTAGTGGTTGGTGGGTAGTGAGTAGAGGATAGTGAGTCGCGAGTAGCGAGTATGGGGGTAGTGAGAAGCGAGTAGCGAATAGCGAGTAGTCAGTAGTGGGTAGTGAGTAATGAGTACTGAGTACTCTTTGGGGCTGGGGGTAGTGGTTGGGGTTAGGATTCGGGGTTTGGGTTAGGGTGAGGACTAGGGGTAGGGTTGGCGGGGGTCGGGTTCCGGAGACAGGGGGCGGCGTGGCGAAAGTGGTGGGGGGGGGGTCGGAACTTCCCCCCCCTTTTTTGAAAGGGGGGGAAGGGGGGGGTGGTCCCCGACGACGGATCGGGGAAAGGGGGGAAGGGGGGAGGGGGGGTCCCCGACGACGGATCGGGGAAGGGGGGGAGGGGGGGGGTCCCCGACGACGGATCGGGGAAGGGGGGGGGACCCCCCCCTTGGGGAGATCCAGCGGCGCACCTTCCCTCTATGGGGCCGCTTATGGGTTTTGCGGGGGTCTCTCGGGAGCTTTTTGGAGCTGTCTGGGGGGCCTCAGAAGCCATCGTGAAGCCATCTTGGAAGAGCTCGAGCAAAAAAGGGGGGTCTCTTAATTTGCCTCCCCCCTCGGGAGCCCCCAACATCGCCCCTTGGAGCGCTCGTGGGCGCTCTTGGGGCCGTCTTGGGGCTCTCTTGGGCCTCACGCGGGGCCCTCCTGGGTTCCTTCGGAGCCGTCGTGAGGCCTCGGAAGGCCATCGAAAGCAAAAAGGCGAGACGGCAAAATGCACTGCTTGTTTTTAGGGGATTGCATTACTTGACATCTCGGGGGCCTCCGTGGAAGGCCCCGTGGCAATTTGGAGCCGTCTTGGAAGGGTCTTGGGGCCTCTTTGAGCATCTTGGAAACTATATTGAGCCAGTTTGGGCTATCTTGGGCCATTTTGGAGGTCATCTTGGGTTCTCTAAGGCGATCTTGGAACCATCTTGAGCCCAAAATGACCCTCTGACACCTCGCGAAGCCCCCTCCAGGTCCAGGGGAGGGGAGGGAATAGAAAGAGAGACCCCCTGGATAGCAAGTCGTCTAGCTCACTCCCACCCGCCCTCCCGACACACGAGTAACACCCGAGC